CGATGGACGGGATGATCCTTCAGCCCTTGACCGGAAACGGGGATGTGCCTGTTGCGTTCCACCTAAGGGTCCCCTTGCCCGGAAGGAAATAAAGGGTCTCAATGTAATTGAATAGGTTGGTGGTCTCATTATGGTTGAATAGAGGGTCGAAATGAGCAAAAAAGCAAATAAAGACTAATGAGGTCATCTCATGTTTACCTGAGAACGTTTATTTTTCAGAATAGATTAGTGAAACAAATGATATCAAGAGGTTTGCACATGCCCGCCCCCATCCTCGAGAGCAAGGACAGCGATGGCCTGGGTTACAGCCCTCGTAACACCGAACGGCTTCGGCCACTGCAAGTGCCATCACACGGTGGGCGCCATGTTAATCTGTCTTCTGGACAGACAAATAGTCACGGAAGCACGAAAAATAGAGGTTCTTCCTCTGCTCATCCAGTTCCATCACCAGATTCCAGAACCACTTCGAGGCGCTTTAAGGGCCAATCCGTTCTTTTCATCAGTATAAAAGTCGCGTGCGTGAAATATGCGCCTAGACTGCCTTTTAAACGTAAGACAGAAGTCCTGAAGCGCTCAAAGGTATTTTTCTCAGGGACGTCATCATTTTCGTTCACCCATTAGCCACAGCTCAATATAAGCTACTGGACGGACGATGCGAGGCCTACGAAGACTGCAACGCCTGGCGTCGAGGCTTTTGTTACTAAGATTTGCGAGTGCGCATGATGAAGACTACGTCACGTAACTTGCACCACTAATCGATTGAATTGATTAAAAGCAATTATTTCAGAAGCGCCATCATTTGTATCCACCTGTTGGCCGCGGCCAGGAGCTAGCCACTGGGACAACGTCTTGCGGATAATGGAAAATGCAACGCCTGGCGTCGAGGTTTTTGTTGCTAAAATTTGTGAGCGCGCATGTTAAATAACTGTGTTACATAAATTGTAGCACTGATCGATTCTGACTGAATGTTAGGCATTTCCAGACAAACGTGGCTTGGCGATGTTGATACAAATTGTTAACCACCCGATGCACAATAAATGTTCATCTTCATCTTGCGATCTAGCATGTCAATCTGCAATCTACCTTCGCGATATCCTTAATGTCTGTAGAGCCCAGACAAAAGTCTGACAAAGCTTCTGAATTTCATCGGTTTAGAAACTGTCCACTAAACCAATGCAATTTGAGGGCGCCAGCGATTTATTCCATGCGGTCGTTTAACGCCCGATTTCTGCAGTTTATTGATTTTAGAATGCAAACAAAATTAATCTCACCGTAGCTTCAAGTTCCTGCTCTGATCACAAGGTAGAAATCAAAATAAAGCGAAGAAAAACGTGTCCCTTGTAACAAGCACGCTATGTCAGTTTATTTTTTGGGGGGGAGGGGTGTCACCACAAGAAGGGCTTTTGTGAACACTGTGTTTCCCCATGGCAGGGTTCTGATTACGCCTCTGCCTAAACACAAAAACAGATCACTTCGGCTGCGTTGAATGATCGACAATTGAATGTCCGTTGGAACAATTCATGCCTAAGGCAGGCAGCTTCCCGCAGGTTTTTTCTGCGGTGGTGTGGTGCAAGGGAATACAATAGGGAAAAAAGATATTTCTGTAGGTGTTCAACACATATTTTATGCGCCAAATAGTTGTAACACTGATCTGGAAATATGCAACAAATCCGCCATACGATCAGTTCGCAGTCAGTCATGCGGGAGACAGCCGGGCCTGGGCAGTGGCCGCCGACGGCGGACGGGAGCAGGGCCCGGATAAGGAATATATCACAGAGGGGCCTTCGTTCTGTGGCTTGGTTTTAAAAGAGAATCTCAAGTTTTATGCCTTTTGTCACATTGTTTTTGGCAGTTTCAAGCTTCAGAATTCGTTTCCGCCTAAAATACTGCGACAAGTCTTATCTCCTGGAAAAAGGCCAGCAAAATAAAGGCGCATGAAAAATCTGTCGCATTGAGCCATCGATTCACTTCCAAAAGTTTTACCAGCCTATGTCCTGGCCGTATTTTGGCATCTACCTTGTGGAGACAGATACCTCCTCAATGATCCAAAATGCCTACCCGCTTGTGGAAATTTGCCTACCCATTAAAGAGAACGTTGAAATGGACGATTAATCTTGGGAAGCTGGATAGCATTATGTGCCGAATGACATTAATGAGTCGAAAAGGCAAGGTCGTGCGCCAGCGAGAAGCAATTCTAGATGCATGTTTAGTATAGCAGCCATGACATTTGAATGAATAGCTATAACAACGTCCATCTCTTGAAGCCTTCCCCCCCTCCCCGCTGGTCATTGTGCTTGTTTTCCGGAAAATGTTCCCGAAGTACATCCTGAGCTTGCCCCCGCGTTTTGAAACGCTCCTACGCCTATGTTCTGAACCCTGGTTTTGAAAGCTCACGCTTTTTATTTCCGCTCAAAATTTCTGCTGATTAGCGGCCTGACCATCAGCGAGAGCGGACACTGAGCAGCCCTAGGGCTCTCACCAAACGCCAAGTGCCACGACGGGGACCATCAGCCGAGCGGTGAATATTTCATTGTTTTCTCAGTCAGTTCCATTTTGTCGCCTCCCCATATTAATATTCCTTTTGCTTCATTAGATACACTGCAAAAGGGCAGTAATGTAATTATGAGAATAGGAGGGGCATGGGTCCATACCCTGCCCCTTGGGGCAAAACGAGGTTTTGGTGCTTCGAAGGTGCACCGAAATCACAGGCTGACCGGGCACCAAAATGCTCACTTCGGGGCGCTATAAAATGTATTTTTGGAAGGCACTCATTTCCAGATGGCACCATGATATGGCCCTGCGTCATCGAGCATTCACCGCACATTTCCTTTTATCGCAGCAAATAATATTCACCTTGCATTCCCTGCTTGGTCTTCCAGTTGGCCCTCGCTGGCTCACTGGGTTGTGAATCGTAGCTCATCTGGTCACTGTGGGCTAATGCATAGAGCTGGTGTGTCTGCCAGAGGGGGGAGAGGCAGGACAGGGGTCCTCCTGGCGCCCATTGTGTATCGCCCCCTCCTCCGCCCCCGGGTGGCGGCGGTGATGTACATACCACATATTTTGATATATGCCTTGCCTCCTGGCAACCACCTTGTCCTTCTAGCACCACCGTCCCCCGACCCCCATGGCAAGCATTCAGTCGTGGATATGACCCTTGTAACAGCTCATATCCATGCTGGGGCTGATGTCAAAGATTACTCACATCCTCCCTCTAATGGGTCGCTGTTGGGGTTTTCCTTGGATGCGGTTGTTGAGGACAATTCTGTCTGTGGCCTGACCTGTCCCAACCTGTCGGGGACAGCAACCGGCAGCCGAGGCTACTGGCCTGGCCGGAAGCCGCTTAACCGTGGAGGCGGAGGAGATGGCGGGGACGAAGGTACAGAGGACAGTATCGGCCGTTATGCTGCAGGCGGTGTCATATTAATTCTTTGCTCAACCACTGGGCCTAGTCGAGCACTACGCGCCACCAATCTTCCTGTAACACTTTGTGCTGCAGGTGCGCAACTGCAATGTTGTGCCCAGGTCGTGCTGGGCTCTGACCGGAAGGCGGAGCATAAAGGAGAGCGCGAAGGAGCTTTCCGATTGATAGAGATGAAAGGTGCGTCCAATGAGTGCGTACGGCGCTGAAGCGTCGCTGATAATGAGTGCGTACGGCGCTGAAGCGTCGCTGATAATGAGTGCGTACGGCGCTGAAGCGTCGCTGATAGTGAGTGCGTACGGCGCTGAAGCGTCGCTGATAATGAGTGCGTACGGCGCTGAAGCGTCGCTGATAACGAGTGCGTACGGCGCTGAAGCGTCGCTGATAATGAGTGCGTACGGCGCTGAAGCGTCGCTGATAATGAGTGCGTACGGCGTTGAAGCGTCGCTGATAATGAGTGCGTACGGCGCTGAAGCGTCGCTGATAATTGACGCGAGTTTATGTTGTGGCCGATTTGCAAACCTGATCTCATGCGTATATCGATCGAGATGTGTCGTACCGCTGTTGGATGTGTCGCTCTGCGGTGGAATATGCTCTATCGCTCTGATTGATATGCGTTGTTCTGCTGAGCTGTGTTATGACTACACAGGTTTATTTACAACGCTGATTTGGAGGTTTGGGTTTTTGTCGTCAGCGTACGTCAATGGAGATGCGTCGTTCTGCCATCCAATGCGTTGCTCTGCTGTAGGATGCGTTGCTCTGCTATGGGATGCGTCACTCGTCTGTGGGGTGCGTTGTTCTGCCGTGCTGTGTTCCGACGACACGACATTGGTTTGTGACGCGTCGCCGGCGGATGTCGATGGAGACGCGTCGTTTTGCTGTGGGATGGGTAAAAATCTGCTGAGATACCTCGTTCTCTTCTTAAGCTAGGGATGCATTACGACTTCTTGATTGTGTGCTGTTACGGTGATCTTAATGTTTCTGTTTTTGTCTCTGGTGGGGGGTCGATGGAGATGCTTCCATAGATCACAATGAAAGATACATTGCATAGTTGCAAAATGCAAGCGTATCAACACGACGACTGAAAAAGGGGTGAGACCATCGAGAATGCTAAGAGACCATCGAGACGTCCGTTTGGTCTGGGAACACTTTTTTGCAAAGTTATCGGCGTCGGTGCAGGTTATATCGTTCAAGAATGCTTGATTGTATCCATGTTCCAATTGGCCGGTCACGAAGATAATGAAGCATTCTCGCGCGAGATAATCAGCGTGGACGGTCGGAACCTAGCAAAAAGAAGAGCGACTGAAGACAGAAAGACCCCCTCCGAACCTCTCGTAAAGTGTGACTCTCGCAGAGGCAAGCTCGACCCTTCGACAGGCTTTAAGAGCCCCCGATGGCTGGCCTATTTTTCAGTGCGCAGTAGCGTGTCGGCCTCCTGGTGCCTCGCGCCAGCTTATGACAGGCGTGACATTCGCACGAGGGCCAGCGGCCAGCGGACGGACGGATGTCGGCAGTCGGCACAGCTGACACCTGTAAAATGACGGGAGTTACTGACGTTTCACCTTACCCTTCCTGGTTCTCCGTGTGTATATAAGGTGGGCGGGGGGCCTGGTTGGGCATCAGGTCTCTTCGGTCGCCAACCATGCGCCTGCTACCTCTGATCCTGCTGTTCTGCGTGGCGGTCCTCGCCGTCGAAGGTAGGCTGCAGGGCGTGCTGATAGCACGTTATGCCTTCCACAGCGTTGATGAGTTATGTGCGGACGCGGGTAAGGTGCTGGTATTGTATAGCGGCTAAGCAGACGTAAAACTGACGGTTCCTCACACGTCCGTTGACAGGCCACCCAGCCCAATCTTAAGACTGTAACAGCCTACGCTATTATTCAGAACGAAGGTGTGCTTGGGGCGAGCTTATATAGGGTGCGTATGAGGGTGAGCTTACATAATGCATCACGATGTGCCTATGTGTTGGCACCAGTACTGCCAGTAATAGCGACGAGGTGCAGCAGTCGGTAAAGGCGGTCCAGTCGCCAACCATGCGTCCGCTTCCTCTGATCCTGCTGCCTGTCTGGAGATCTTCGCCGTCGAAAGTAGGATGCATTGCGCACTACCGAGAGGTTAACGCTTCCAGCGCATGGTGGAGTTGAGAGCAGACATGCGCAATCTGTTGATGGTGTGTAGCGTTTGCAACACATGTTATACTGACGGCCCTCCAGGTGTTCAATTTGATACCATTTGGCCACACTAAGAAGGCATAACAGCATTCTCCTGACCTCCTGAACGAAAGCATTTGCGTACGGGAGTGAGAGTCCGGAGTGTTTATGTGTGTTACGATAAGTCCAGGGGCTATCCCTAGTTTCGCCAGCAACAGCACAACACAACAGCAGAACACAGCGGTCGCTATAGAAGGCAAGGGTGACATACGACACGCTCTCCGTTCCAGGCGGCCATAAGAAGGGCCACTGCGGCAAGGGGGGTGGTGTTTGGTGCCCCAGAGGCCGGGCCTGCCGCCCCTGTGGCTACAGCAGGTGCTGCAGGCCCATAATCCGTGAGTTCTACACGTGGGACAGATGGTATAACTGCTGATGTGGTGTGGCGGGGCGATGAATGCAAAGGGACAGCGTTGTCTTCAGGTTGTTGTCAGGTTGTCTTCAGCGCCGCCCTGTCTTTTGCTGCGGTGATCTAGCGCTGTCTTTTTAAAAGCACAGCCGCCTTAATTTTTCCCGACCTCAGCTAATATCAGAACGTACATTCACACTTCCCTGACCCTGATGCGGGCGCGCTTTGCGACCACATTGCGCCGGTCAAAGCCAGCGAGTCGTTGGCAGCCATGTAGTCATGGACCTCTAAATGGCAACGAAAAATGACTATACGGGGAACAGCATGTCATCCATGTTTCCTTTGAGGAGTTGGTGTTTTATCGTGCAAACATCCATACAAAAGTCGTGTTGAACTTGACGCAAATGCGCGATCAACGAAATGATGACTATTGCCTGAAACCAGAGACAATTGAAATGGAGCATTTTTTGTTGTTGAGCCACGTCACGGTCAGTGCGTGAACCCGCGACACCCCGCAACTGTCGTGAGCTTTGGCGCCTGACGCTGGCGCCGCGCTTCAGTGGTGTGCGGCAAGGGCGGCTCGTGGTGCCGTTCCGGTTACTCCTGCCAGAGATGCGGACGTCACCGCTGCTGCAGGCCCAGTGAGTCCCAGAGGGAGCGGGTCTGTCCACGGAGCAGCAGTCACCGACGTGCTCGTGTGTCAATCGACAGCGACGCGCAACGGCATATGCAGGGCATATCAAATGCGTTCGCTCGTGGCGAACGGAAAATTCGTGATGCTAGTGTTTCAACGTGGGGCAGATGATGTGCGCGGCGACTACCACAACGTCTCTTTAGCAGGTATTTGTTCCGAAGTAAGTGCATAGATCCACAGTGCATGTTGCATCCCCCGTGCTGCCTTCAACTGGATTAGTTATGTGGTGAATATGCCAAATTAGTGCGTTATGTGCCATATCTTCCAAAACTCAATATCAGCACGCAAACATAACGTCCAATCCAAGCCTATGAGAAATGGAGCCGGTGCCTGAGGTGACCTGATGGAATCATTGCCCTCTCTTTCAGTCAATCGCTGCAGACGTATCAATCAGAAATGCGGTAAACGCCGCCGTTGTCGGCCATGCGGATCGCGCGGTCTCTGCTGCCGGCGCTGGGTCTCGCTGAGTAAGACTGAACATCAGCTGGTTGCGGGGAGAAGCAAATCAGTACATGCACATCATTTGTGGTGCTCCGTTCCCACCATTTCAGGAGGCTTGATTCAACTAGTTCGCCAATTCACCTGTTTGTATCACAAGTCCACGGCGGCACAGTCTGGCATAGGAAACCTATTACGGTATACTCCCGTGCCACCAACCACCAATATATATATATATATATATATATATATATATATTCATATATATTCATATGTATTACGTGCCTTGAAAGATATTGGTTTTAGCAGGGTTTGAACAACCGCATTGGCTTTGACTAATTATAAAGCTTTTAATCCCTTCAGATATTTCAGAAATGGTCAGTGTTTATGTGTCGCCCAGCGGCACACCGAGAGTTCCTTGTTGAAGATATTCTATCCACTTTGAGTTGAACATGCTGTACATACATACCACCTTGATATGAACTACAAAATTCTATCCACAACAGCTGAACATAAGCCTCACGATCCTGACATGCCCTGAGCGTGAATTGGCAAGAGTAAATATAAAATTAGTTGAATTAAACTGGATTCGTGCCATGAAATTGCTTCGTCTATGTGTACTGTTATTGTTACCCCGGAGTTCAGTCACACTTTTTCCCAGGCATAGCGTACCCTTATTTTCAAGTTGCATTGCACTTTCGTTTACGCCAGTCTCCTTAATCAGTGATCATATTGGTTGCTTCTATTTCCGAAGTACTATCACATCACGAACAACCACGGAATACGTTCTGCTCACGAATGGCGTGTCTCGTTTCAGCTCAATGCAGATGGAGTTGCAAGAGGAGGGGGTACTACTGCACCAAGTACAGGTGCAGCAGTGGTTACTGCTGCCGCAAGCGCTGCTACAAGAAACACTGCAGGGGACGCTAACTGCTGTTTACACCAAATGCACCCGACAAAAGCAACAGATCGGCAGACGTGGAGCTTGCAGCAACGACACATTCGGGCATATGCGTTTCGGTCTGGATTTTTCCGAAAAGCTCGTCGTAGCTGCTGCTGAATAAACCTGTTATCACCAATGCGCTTGTTGAATTCCGTTCAGTCCGTTCGGATCGGGGACAAGGCCAGTTGCAAACATTAACAAGATTTGGCGACATCTGGTGACAACGACAGATAACACTGTGATATAGCATGGCAAGGCGACGCTTGTTGCAAAAAACGCCTGTCAGACTATCTGGTGAGAAGAACAAATCGAAAAGCCCTTGTGAAAAAGAAGACCATGCCAAAGTCGACGAAAATTCTTAGTCAACGTTAATGTGGGGAGATTTTATTAACGTCCATTTGAAGCATGGAAGCATCTAAGCAAGTAAACTAGTAGTGTAGGGGCAGCTGAGTGCGTACATGTGTGCATGTGTCTGTGTGTTCCGGATTGATCGAATAGGCACACCAGCACGGATGACTGTACCGATGGCGATAGCTACTCCAACGTCGGTGACAGCCGTAACGCCTGTACAAAGAGGACACACTTCCGTCAACAGATACAGTCTCGCTAATATAGACAGACAGCTCCGTCAGCAGCTCCACAAACGCTTTCACTGCCACGATGTACAAGCATATGGTGTGGACATGTACAAGCATAAGTAGGAACACTGACATTAAACTGCAGTGAGCTAGAATCATTTTTGAACTAGGGTGGGAGTTAAAAATTTCATCGCAAAAAAACCGTACAGGAGTGAAAAATTCATTCAAAAAAAGTTGGAAGGTATGAGTCAGAAAGAGACGCTCCAGCAAACAATGATGTATATTTCAAGCTGGCACAGGTACATGATCATAAACAAGACGGAGCTGTTTTTGTTTCCTAACACCTTAAGTCATTGCACTGAACATAATACATATATAAATGCATGAGCATATGAATGCAAGAGAACTTCTTAAACTCACGGGAAAATATGCATGAACACCACGAGCAACGGCCAGAAACACGATCGCATAACGATATTTGGCTCAGCGGAACGCTTTCAGCACCGCCAACGCTATCTTTAAGCGAATTTAAGTGCTACATTGAGCGTTAGGGTGGCAATCTCGCACCCGCTAGTTTGGCAGCACATCAACGTCACACAAATGTTTCATGACGCAATCAAGCAATGACGTACTGAGAATAATGGTTACTAACTTGAGAGGTTTTGTCATTAAGGTCAGTCCTTTCCACTTGAAAATGTACCAACACTTATAAGTTCGCTGATTTCACCACATGTAATGCTTCATTCAACATCTTCAAATGAACAATTCCCTTAATAGCAGCCACTTTCCAGCACGCAAACGCGCATAGGTGGACGCGAGGGGCGGACCATCACCCGATTTCCGCCCAGTACGCCCCTGGTAGTCACCACATCACACCCGACAGGCAGAGCTTTGGGAGGCAGGAATCCCATCAGTGGTGATGAATGACTCAAGAAATAATCCAAGCGCAATTCGTTCATAGAAAGCTCGGTCGCTTAGCAAAGCAAGCCAGCAAGCCCTTCTTGCTACAAATTTTTCTTGAGCTGTGCACTGTTTTAGTAAAATGTGTTGAAACAGTTGCCTGCTGACGTTTGCCACATGATATTTCTTAAGCTCTATTTCAGCTTCTTTGTAAGGCACTAGAAGATCGTCTAACGTCTCCAAAATGGGAGACAAAACCCTCTAAAGCACACAGCAACGCACTAAGTGTGCGAGGAACTAAATGATCCTAGAGCTCGCGTATATGATGTTTATCGGGATATCCGAGCTTTGGCTTCTTTGTCGCCGCAACTTTTGCTAGATACCGCTCTCACCGGTGAAAAATCGGTCAATCCAGAGGCCGTACCAACAGTGGCAATGGTTGATACATAACGCAGGATTCTCAAGAATTAAGCGTCTATGTTACGTACACCGACATGCCGCTTGTATGAAGATCATTCCTTTCGAGAATGATATCCCAGCATGCTACTTTGCATGGAACAGGCGATAGTATGATTGCATA